TTGAGTGACAGCATTGCATGAGCCCTGAATGGTTTGGGAGGTCCTTCAGTAACACCTAGGTTACTTGCGAAGCAGATAGTGAAGACTGTGGTTCTAGACTTTGAAAGCAAGGTCAAGCTAGAGATCTAAACTTGACACCATCTAAAATACAAGATTATATATATATATATATATATTTGGTGGTACCAGGGGATCAAACTCAGGACCTTGTGCTTGCCAGGCAAGCACTTATTCCACTGAGCCCCTAAAAACAAGAGGTAGAGGTCTATGGTAGAATACTTATCTAGCAAGCACAAGGCTCTGGGTTTAATCCCCAGCAGCAAAGAAACAAAGAAAAATCCTAGATGGAATTAAAATTCCTGTGAAGAGGCACAGCAGCCTTTTCTGAGGGGTGGGGGGATGTTGATAAGAATGTTTTTATTCTGGAGCTACCATTTGGAGAGTTCTGCATTCAAAGACATATTCCCTTCCCCAAACACCTGCATCTGGCCTCAGCCTACTCCGCTCAACCCAGGACCACATGGGTCGACTTCCCCACTTGGAGTAGCTAAGACAACAAATGTACTTGGAGAGTATAATATGACTCATCTTGGAACAAGAAATCTCTCCTTATTGATTGATTTTAGGCTTATGGCCAATTGGCCTCCTCATTTGGCACCATTCCTCCAGCATCACTTCTCAATTGTCCTTTCAGTACTCAGCTTAAAATCTATTTTATATAGAAAAACATTTCTGACAGAAAGAGGTGAAATCTGATACTCTTATTCAGGTAGTTCACACAAATCCACTATGTGTATGCATTCATCAAATTTAGGAATTTATATTAGAATCTCAGTTGTCACCTATGAAGTCTTTGTCACCTTGAAGAAAATGATAGTAAAATCTACCTAGGTGAGGAGTGAAATAACAAAAATGAAAATCCTAAGGGTGACACTGAGTAGGTGCTCAGGAAATGGCAGGCATCTCGTCAAACCTGATATGGTTTCTGAATTATTTAGCCTATTTAAGTTTCTTGAAAGTAAGAGCCGTCTTTCTTGGGTTTTATGTTCTCGCCTTCACTATTTCAGTGCCATATATCCCCAGGAGACATTGAAGAATTATATTTAGGAAGTGAGAAGGTCAAGGATAGAGTTGAAAAAGATTTATGTAATAAATATGTAGATGAGGAGAGACTGTTCTAGGGGAGATGAACCAAAAAAGGAATCTGATTCAGAGGTGGTGGCAAAGGTCTTTCTTCACATTTCCTCTTTCCATTCATTTAAAAATTTTATCTTGCCAAAAACAGGGGACAGAAGGTCTCATCTTGATGAATGTGGAGCTGCAGAAGGAGCTGCCAATACACCTGGTACTGATTCATGCCAGCTGGGATAGGAGCTTGGTTTCTCAGTGTTTTACTACTGTGGTTTCCTAGGCTGGGCAGCTGGGTGCCTAATAATGATAAAAACCCTAATAATACTTCATAATTACATACAGTCCTGTGCCAGAACTCGGATTTAATTACAATGACTGTGATGGAACTGGCAACATCCTGCTCCCTGTCGGGGCGCAATACCCAAGGGCCTGCAAAAGCGAAGTGAAGGGGCAACTGCAGCTTTCTCCTGCAGGGCCCAGCCTGGCAGCTGACCGAGAGTTCTCCGGGTTTGAAGCTCATCATCTGAAACAAAGGGCCCCTGTAAATTGCTCACCTGTACTTGGCACAGTAAAGTAAAATAGTATTTATGAAGCAACTACTGCCACCCATGGGGCACAGGATACTGGAAAGCCAGGCCAGGCCTGGAAGCCAGGCAGCAACCCAGGTGATTTCATTCACACCGATCCTCTCCTGCCTCCACGTGTCACTGCCACCACGATCAAATTGATTATTTACTGAGCTGGACATGCCTTGATGAATGTGGAGCTGCCAATACACCTGGTACTGATTCATGCCAGCTGGGATAGGAGCTTGGTTTCTCAGAGTTTTACTACCGTGGTTTCCTAGGCTGGGCAGCTGGGTGCCTAATAATGATAAAAACCCTAATAATACTTCATAATTACATACATACAAGCCTGATTTAGGTGTCAAGGGACTCCCCAACTCACTGAACACTCATTTGTGAGCACCCATCCTGAGCCGAGGCACTGAAGGGCCACAAAGGTGATTAAGATATGATCCCTGACCTGAGAGTTTGTTGTTTAGCTGTGGGATTTGCATTTAGGCAGCCACAGCATAGAACTATAAAGAGAAAGGAAAATCCTAGATGAAAGGGAACAAAAGCAGAACTCCAGGCGAAAGGCTCAGAGAAATTTCCTCTTTGGAGAATGAGGAGGGTCAGGGAAACTGGTGAAGAGCTGGGCAGAAAATTTCAAAAGTGCTGATAGCTTTCTCTGTTCATTGTCTTAACACTTATCACCTCTGATTCGTCTTGTTTTGTTAACTTATTCATAGACTATTTGTCTCTCCCCTTTCAGCAACTCTCATTTCGTTCACCACTATAACCCAAGCACATCAAACACCACCTCAAATGTACTAACTACTGGCCTAATGAATAAATGACAGAAGTGAGGCGGTAGGAGTGGACAGGAAGTGGCACGATATATATCACGCAGTAAAGTGAGAAGGGATGAAGTGTTAGCTGTCACCGTAACAAATACTTGTGGTAACTACCTTATTAAGAGGAAAGATTTTAGTTTATAATTTTGATTGTCAAAGAAGACTTCTTTGATATTCTGGAAGTTTCTAATTTTATTTTAATGTACTTGGTACAGGATCTCACTATGCAGCTTGGACTTACAGTGATCTTCCTGTTCTCAGCATAGCCAGCACTAGGATTATAGGCCTGCACCGCCACGCCTGGTCTTGGTGGCCGGCTCAGCATGCCTGGGGCTGGGGCCAGCGAGGCATATGGTGCCAGGGATCAAATCCCTGTCCCTGTATTTGCCTAAGCAGGTGTTTAGTCCACTGAGCTATCTCACTGGCCCTTAGTCTATAGTTTTGGAGGTTCCAGTTTATGCCAGGGTGGATCTACTGCTTTTAGGACTTCAGTGGGGTTTGGGGGTATCATGCTGTAAGCTTGATGTGGAATAAACTTGCTCGTATCAAGTCAAAGAGAAAAAAGGGAATTTTCTTTTTTCTGGGAGGTGGCACTGACTAGGTCCCAAAATTTTTGAGGGCATACCCTCAGTAACCTAAAATGTCCATGTCACACCTCTTAAAAGGTTTCACTAGCTCTCAATACTACCAAGCTGGAAACCAAATCGTTAGCACCTAGGCCCCTGGGGAACATTCCAAGTTCAAACTATAGACAGATAAGGAGATGTTGGAGCATCCAGGAAGTAGATAAGAGGATTGTTCCCAGTTTCACCAGATGGCACTATTAAATAAGAAGGAATAGATTATGTGGAATTTGGGGGGTACAGGAATTTCAACTTAGATACATTATGTTGACAGACAAGCCAGCTGTCCAAAGACACTTATACGTGGGGATCTGGACCTCGTTAAGGGCACAATCAGCTGCTGGGACATCAGAATGATTAGATCACCGAGTGTGCACCAGAGGATTAGGTGTCTCCTGAGAAAAGGTCTGCGCATCCAAAGCTTACGGTTATTTCAAGGAGTCAATAGAAAGCAGACTAATAAAAACGGTCAAGAAAGACAACCTGAGGGGGTATGCTGTCGGCAAAGGTGGGGGGGGAAGCCTTCAAGGATGTAGGTCACAGAATTCATCCAAGAGAACAAGATTAAGGACTACAGAGTGACCCTTGAATTTGGTCATAAGGATGTCACTGGCATCCTTCAGAGGAGCCCTTTAAGCCCCTAGTAGGGACACTGTACACAGGTGTTGGTTTATGCGCTGGATCGTGATTCTAACAGCAAAAAGCGGCCGACGGACCTGCGAGACGACCACGTTCCTAAAGGGCCAGATGGGAAGTCCTGCAGGTGTCACGGTCCCCCAAGATCCCTTCTCCTCCACCCTCGCAGCCATTTCTAGGGCGGGGGCCCTTCCACCTGAGGCGCAGGCAGCCGGAGGGACACCAAACGCCCCTCCCTCCGACGTGTGAGTCATCTCTGTGGCTGCTGGAAGCGGGGACGGGAAGACTTGAATTAAGTGAGGTGCCCGGTTTCCGTGGATCTTGGAATTCAGTGGCGGCGCAGCTCCACGCAGGAGCAGCTAGCGAGACTCATTCACATTTTCCGGCCCGGCACTCGCGCCTTCCATTCAGCATTTTCCTCTTTCTCCTTCTCGGAGGTGAAAGCGGGGACAGAGCGTCCTCGGGGAGCCTACCTCAGGCAGAGCTCGCGACCCCAAGCCCACCGGCGGCCTCCTGGTGCCACGTGACCCGCCGCAGCCCCCGTGACTCGCCGCCGCCGCCCGGCGCGGGCCC